GCAATTAAAATCTGATGCAAAAAAAAAAAAACTTGACCACATATCTATCTACATGTTGGGCTTTACCGCGTACCGCCATTATCCGTGCACAATTAATCCCGCGCCTGATCACAACTCCCAGAGATCAGCCTTCTACACTGGTTCGATACAACCTCATGACCAGCCACCAATGTCTAACCATCACACAAGCACAGCAACATCGTTGATTGGTAGAATACTACATGCATGAATGTGCAGGGCAAATGCATTTACATGGATCATAGAAAATTCTCATTGAATTGAAGACGGCGTCACCCAATCTCGGCTCTACGGACTCTGTAGTGAGGGATAGAGGGCTATAAGGGGCACCGCTGACAAGTGTTGAGAACAATCCCCTGAAGATATGCATAACAGTTGCGGTCTCCTTATCAGTTGTGTGGGAGGGAAATTTTCAAACTCGAGTATGGTAATAGATAACGTAGAGAGGAGAGTGTTTTGAGCAGTTCAGTTGGTGGGTTTAACCGCGCACAAACATAAATTTTGGGATCAGTTTGAGGCTGCTCGAAGACCGTGAGACTAACAATGACTTAAGCCGCACTTGGAATCACAATGGCCTTGAATTCCGCTGTGACCTTTGGCGTAGAACCGGGTAGATACTGGGATCCAGTGTTTTGCCAAACTAGTAATAACAGGGCCTTCGAGTGGCTATTGCCAATATGAGAACTGGAGTAAGAGTGGGGGATGATTTTTGAGAGTATGGGTGAGGAAATCATTATTTTCCCTGACCTGGGTCTATAAAATCATCTTCTGAGTGCTTAGATACCGGTTCAGCTGGAGAATGTTCTCTTTCGGTAACAGATGCCATGATTTTTTCCCCACTAATACTAAGAATAATTGAGCTTCACCTCACACGTTTGGCTGCATGCGAGATAACTCGAGCGTGAGATACGAGTATCGCATGATCATTGGGTCTCCGGGGGGCACCCTATCGTATAAAGATGATAAAGGGTCGAGTGATTGTGTAAAATAAAGAGATTCAGTGTGTCTAATATTTACATGAGGGTTGAATTTATTGCGCTATTAAGAGGCTTCATTTGGGCATTGCATTGTATGCAATAGTATCATGTGTATATATCGGAAATGAAATTAGTCGTAATATAGATTAAGTCGTACCGGTTTCTCTTTTTATTATTGTTTCACTCCTAAGTGGATAACTGGTTTCAGCGTATAATCAATGCTTAGAGTACATGTTGAATGACTCCTTTGAGTTCAGAGGCATTTGTAATTTGTATTTGATTCGAAAATAGGATTATGAGGTGAAATTGTTTACACGGAACTGTCGACCCACGCCCGCAGATACTAACCAATGGGAAGTTTCAAAATCTTTGGCTATCAAGGCAGACAAGCATGGCGAGGAGAATGGTCGAGTGTTGCTTGATTCGAAAGGGCGCTCTTGTTAATAGTAGAGTAGTTGTCCAAATTATCCGGATACCTAGAAGATTAGCCCGGGGTATGTACTGTTATAATATGCAACTATTGAGGTACTTATGGTGTCTCTTATACTCTCGGAGCCAAAGTTGTGAAGCGGATAATACTCAGCATAGAAAACTCATTACCATATTGGAAACGAATTCTCTTTCAGGAATACATTCATCCCTAGTAATACGTCGTCCACCTGTCCTACTATCTCTCACATCCATCCTGCATGTCTGCCCAGTTTCGTGCACAAGGATTTTTATACTCTGGGCTTTCATATTCTTATGGGTGTGTATTTGGAAGCCAAATGTGAGCAAAGATCAAGTTGACGAGAGATTTGTTCATTAAAACAAGCATATACCAGGCCACACGTGTAGACTGGACAAAATCTGGGCAGTGATCGATCTAGTTGGAGGTGAAAATTTGACTTGGCAGAGAGTCTTAAATTAATTGCCTCGATAATGCGAAATTTAACTGAACGTGGCTCCGGGATAACATTTCATATCTAGGTTCGTTTAAGGCACTTCCTCACTATCTACAAGAAAATGTTGGGAATTAAAATAGTTGAATCTACTGAAATTTATTAGTCTCTTTCATGTAGAAACTAGAAGTTCTCTGTAGTCATGGACTCAGATAGGACTATAATAAAATCTAATCTAATCATGTAAGGCACTGCTAACAATATCCAACCTACATTAACCACACTCGGAGCACTGATACGGTCCTAAGAAATTTATTATCCTTTGTGGTTGCGAGCTACTTGCTTTACGTGGGCGAAACTTGCATGAGTCGGTAATGAGCTGTCTGAAGACTCCATTGACAGTCAAGTTCCCACGAAATCATTTGCGCAAAAGCTTATACCACTCAAAATTCGGTCTTTCAATTGTTTCTCATTTTTTACCATGTGGCATGTGTTATTTTTGTGCTACATAATTTCCAGTGAGACTGTGGCAACCTTTTTTTTATATTGTACGTGCTAACCTTTGCGTTTTCCTCCTATGCACATTTTGGTATGGTTGTCAGTGGATTTACAACTGTGATTTGCGAGAGAGGCAGCGCCTGGGAAGATCGATAATTGAAACAAATGGAGACCAGGTGGTGCACCATAAGCCATAAATTGCGTTACTGGAATCCGTGCCGAGGGCTAAATGTAAAAAAATAGGGGTATTCAAGGTCCACACTAGCACTCATCGGTATTGCTATTTGTCAACGCTATTCTCCGATCCGTGGTAGATACCGTTTCTAGCCCTAGTTTGCCAGATCCTACGAATTACATCTCGCTGGTCTATGGTGGTGACAACAAGTAGACATTAATAGAAGGGATCAAGGAATAGATGTAAGGATATTATTCAGGATAATTTTTGCTGTAAATTAGAACCAAATTGTCATAGCTACATAGCTCAATTCAATATGAATTTAAAAAAAAAAGTTTTGTGGTGGACCATTAAGCTTTGGGATACGACAGCTAGTGCGAGCGATGGAGAGGCATGGGAGTTTGTACAAGATAAAGTGTGAACTGAAATCTACATCTCTGATAGTCGCTGTGACAGAATCACAGAACCACAGGACAGCTTGAGACTTGCATGGAATTTGATGTATCGCAGAGTCACACTACGAGCTGGCAAGGCCTCTTTCCCGACTTGATAGGTAAAAACATGCTGGCTGATGCCCCGATGCCCGTAAACGCTCCCAAGTACTTGGAGGGATGAGGCTCCCTCAACTTTTCCGAATGAAATTTCCTCAGCCTTACCGCCTCCGAAGTATACACAATCCTGAACGTCTCATAGTAAATAGCGCAAAGAAAGTTTTCGTTGGACGGCTACATCCAGTTACCCAAGGCAAGCGTGTAATTTTTATCCGCAAATCACTTCATTACTACTTCTCCAATTCTTCGTGATTAAATCGTTGACTTTTTGGTCAGAAGAGGATAAAGGCTTCAGAGTATTACTTTGCCCTGGAAGTAGGATGGGAGGAGCAGGGACAGAGACTATTTGAGACGCGGAGAAGTCATTGTGTTACTCAACAGCTAAAGGCAGTCACCATTGATTCTAAGAAAAAAATCCCCTGAGCTTATGCTCTGTAGGGAAGCAGATGTCTAAATCTTCCATCCCATTTAGTACAGCTCGAATTTTCATGATCATGCGATTGGTCATTACTTGGTCAGAAATTACTGCCTTCCGCCATGGAAATAAGTGTGGTACTTTCTGCCAATGAAGTCTGTTTCCTCAGGCTACAGCACATCTTACTGAAGTATGGTTCGCTCCTCCCTGGCCATTCCTGGCGAACTAGTTCTTGCATATTCCTTCTGCCTGTCACGGGGCTGCCTGGCCAAATTAGCGGTGAGTGGCCTCACGGGGCTGGCACTCGCATAGCTTTGGGGGGATCCGGCATCTGCTATTCCGCCAGGGTAGGTTCGAGCATGTGCCGTCTCGCAATGATCCAGCAGAGCAATCAGATCAACAGTTTGCCAGGACTAAGCTATTGAGCCATGCCTCTCATTCCCTGACGAGGTCTGATGAGAACTTGAGAGCATAGACTTGCCTTTGCGACCTAAAGCTAGTTAAAAATCGTGGGCCATGAATTACACGCCGCCTTCGCTCGGAGCTCCAACTTTTGTGGACGGGGGAATTCCATCAAGTTCCACTGGATTCATGCTTCGGCAAGTGTCCCTGCAAAAAAAGTCAACCCACCACCTTCTAGCATCATGACCTTCCCAATTTACGAGCCGCTAACATCCGGGTAAATGGATTGATAGCATCAAATGCGGTTGGAGATGGTAACTCTTTACACCCTCACGCAGTAGAGGAGCTATTGCAGTGTACAAGTCATGTCATCTACAGCTGTTAACCAGTAGCAGAGTTAACTTGAAGCGTCGCTGAGCTTGGAGAGTGACGCATATGTTTCGGTGATTGGCGTCTGATCCTAAGGTCAAGTTGCCTGGAGTATTAGAACAAGAAATATATTGCGCCAGAGATTTCACGCAGACCAACCGATGGTGAATTTGGGTAGAAATCTCCCTAATTGCTCTCATCAAAATCTCTCATTCCCTCAATCGCTTTATCGAATAACAAACTTGAGAATTCACACGTAGTTGTCGGGGCACCGCTCCAAGCGCGATACCACCACCACTTGTCCTCATATTGTCTCGCTTATCCCTTTTCGATCTCCAGGTCCCAGAGGCCTAATTCCGTTATCGCCGCTACACCTACTCCATGTAAGTTTGGCGAGATTTCTCTCCGTCTTCCATCAATTTCTCACCCCCTCTTCATCGGCCCATCAGCCAGCCACGAAGTTGTCAACTGTTCGTCACACTCTATCTCATTTACATCCTACGCAGTAAACTACCACACATTGCTCCTAACTAATCAGCGATTTTCACCTTGATCTCTTCCTACCTCTCCCGTGTTGCCTGTTGCTAAAACATACTCGGCAAAATAACGCTCGCCTGACACACCTGGGGCCAATAACACTGGCAAAAATAAATAGCATTCTCATTCAAGACTTTTCACAAATATTTCTTGCCCTCACTCGACCCTATCCACCTCATGCCTCCTGTCCGAACAACAGCTTCTAGAGCCGGAAAGGTACGTAAGGATTAAATGTACATCTTTCATCATCTCATCATTTTCATAGTCTGAACGAACTCATGAAGAAAATGTAGAGCGGGCTTTCATAGCAGCTTCACGACGGTGTGATAGAACCTTAGAGGCCCGACTTGAGTCTGCAAGGCGAGCATCTGAGATTCACAAGGCCCGTACGGGACGCGGCCTCCGAATCACGGAAAAAGATGTCCAGAACGAAGAGATGTACGAGGAAGAAGATGATGACCTCCCTCTCCAATATCGGCACCTCACAGCTGGCTTTCAAACAAGTAGTCCTGAATTTAATCGACGCTTTGCAGCCTATCTGACTACCCATGTGGCTGTTAGGACAGCTCTAGAACAGAGTATTATCCAGTCATATGCTCAGCAACAGCAAGCCTCTGGGTACGATCCTAACCAGTCATTTCAGGGCCAACATTACGGCATGTACCCATCCCCACTACTTGCCCACCAAGCTCAGAGTCAGCCGTCACCAGCGATATCTACCGTCCAAGCCCAACCTACCTCTACTCGCTATTCCCCATATCAGATTCCTTCCCGTACTACTGCCGTTCCACTCCCTCAACAAAAGGGGTCACCGTGCAATTCATCTCCATCTATGCCAATGACCTCGGCTTACATGAGCCCGTGTGTCCCATATACAGAGAAGCAAGCCGGGACATTACCCACCGCAACTGACAGGCCCGTTGACGAAATAAGTGCTTCATCCACATCAGATACATATTTGTGTAAAAACATGGCACAGCCATTCCAAACCTCCCAAGCTGAAGACCCCCAGAACCCTTACTCACAATCCTTTAATTCTAACATGGCCTCACTGGGACCATTCAGTATGGCTCTTCCCGCCGAAACTCAGGCATTTCTGGGCCCGAATATCGGTTACCATACCCATGCAGCTAATGATACTATAAATGGCCAAAATATTAACTTGAAAGCGAATATACATAGCTTTACAGGTGATAATATGCAAATGATGATGGATCATATCAAACCAGAAGCCCTGTCTAATCCTGAAGGACTCAACTCAACTTTACTCCCAGAATCCACTCCTCATGATAGTCCCTATCTCTATGGAAACCAAATATACTCCAACATCACCCAACCGACCTCGGGATCTAACTGTGCTATAACACCCGTTTCTGAGATCGACGAGGACGACTGGCGGTATTTTATCAACATAAACAGATCAGACGGGTCGCCCTTATCTGATTGATGATTTAATTGTGACGCTAGAGCCTATTTATATTATAACTAACATCATCAACATTCATCGATTGTGTCAGCTTGGTTAGAAACTTAGCAAGAGTCTTTACAGACAACTATCCTGTACAGTATTCACACGAAAATTGCAGAACTTTACGATTCACAAACTCCAGGCTTTCAAAACCGGTATTGTGAAGATAACCGCACCACGTGTTGGTTTTATCTTGGTCTTCAATTTAAATAGAATGATTAAAAGACCCAATTTGAAGGTCACAATTCGCTAGATCAAGCCCACAGTTATTTCGAGTCAGTCTACTTCCGGAAGATGAAGTTGAAGGAAAAGTCTTGAGAATGCCTTTATTAATCAATCTAACAACAATGAAGTCTCTTAAATCGCAGGACTCTTACGTACAACCAACAAGAAAATTTTTTAGACAGCTACAAGTTGTCAACCAACTGCAAACCGATAAATTTCTCGCTCACAAATATGTTCCGAATCTGCCATTTATCGGCAGATATTTTCCTGCTATTTTGTGCCCTTAGAGCCCAAGGCCTAGACCTCATCGTCTAGATAGCTGCATTTTTAGATATCTGTATTGAGAACCATTTGCTATTTAAGCGATTTTGAGCTTTTTTGCGTCATATTTTTGGTATTAAGCAACAATTTTAACAGTAGATAATCTCAAAATAATTAAAAAGTTATTCACTTCCAATTGGTTGGCAATTGTTCTTTTTGACGGCACTCTAAGCAACTTTACTCACAGTAATTCTGAGCAAATCATCTCATCCATGCCAGGCTTTTTTAGTTTTCCCACGCCAGAGTGATAAAGAAAATGGAGCACATGAAATTTCAGAGAATACAATTAGGCAGAAGTAAGTCGTACAAGCAAGCTCTTGGATAATAGAGATATGAAATTTTGATACATGAATTGTCCCACAGTTGCTTTCTATGCTTTATCTGTATGGTGCATCTGCTCGAGCCGCTGCAGCAATTTCCGGCTCCCATTTATCTCCTGGATATATTATCAGTGACTTGGAATACTGCGTGATAGGCGGCATACCATTAGCTAGTAATTTCTCTTTGTTATATAGAAGCTCTTCTCTAGTTTCAGTGGCATACTCTGCATTGGGTGACTCCACAATTGCGTCCACTGGACAGCTTTCCTGACAAAAACCACAATATATGCATTTAGTCATGTCTATATCATATCGCGTTGTTCTTCTACTACCGTCTGCACGCTCTTCCGCTTCAATAGTAATAGCCTGGGCAGGGCATATCTGTAGAGTTTAGCTTGTTGCTTCTTTGGAGAAATTACAATTACCGCTTCACAGAGCTTGCATGCTATGCAACGCTCTTCTCCTGAGGGATATCTTCGGAGAGCATGTTCCCCACGGAAACGAGGCGAAATTGGACCCTGTTGCGGATTGAGTAACTATATGGCTAGTTTTCGAAAATAGTATACCTTTTCAAATGGGTAATAGATGGTGTATCTGTTAAGAATTACTGATTTTTCTCGGAAATGGATGTCAGAGGGCTTACGGAGGTCGGAAATATTGCTCCAACACAACATACATTCCGCGCGCCATTTCTGTCATTAGAAAATACTTCCCAGCCTTGTCCAAAACTGATTCTTTGCTTTCGTCCCACCTTTCCGGTCGTGGTAACCGAAATCTTGCGGATGGCGGGCTAGAGGGAGTTGCCAACCTTCGGATGGAGTTGGCACATAATGTGGTTGATAGGGGCGAATGAGTTGAGTTGAGGACGCCCTGGCGCAGCCAAATGGCTTGACGTGCCAAATTACTCTGCGAAATGAGCATATTGCTAGGTTCTTAAGACGAGATATCGTGAATGTTCACTGTCAAATATTGTATGTGTGTTATTGTATGTGAAGCCAAGGACCTTGTGTCATTAGAAAATGCCTGATCGTGATTGGCTTAGCCAGCACTGACGACTAATCATTCAATTAACTAGCAAATGATACCTGGCTCTGTTCTACTAGGTTTCGCTATGAATAACTGCAGTACGTGCAGTAACTACAGAAATTGCCTTTGCTGGAAGCTCATCGATCATAGTCACGTGATTTACATGAGAATTAGGATGTAGGTAAAATAGAGTGCATCAGCCCGAACGATCTATCCAACCCTGCAATACCTCATTGTTCATAATATCTCCAACCACGTCGAAAAAATGCTTCGTGTTGCAATAATCAGATCAGCTCGCCAGGTATTGGCTTCGACGTCGACAGTGTCCAGAATAATTGTTCGCCCGTCGATGCAAATTCCCTTTGTCTCTAAATCGCCAATCGTACGGAGTCCCTTTCAAGTAACAAGATGCTACTCAGCTTCTGCGGCCCTTACAGAAGAAGAGATTCAGGGAAGAATAGTTGACCTATTAAAGAATTTTGATAAGGTATTTAATCACGCGAGCTTTGTCGCGCTCCTACTAACCATCTGAGAAGGTTACTCAGCCAGAGAAGGTATGAAATGGTGATGCACCTCAGTTATAACTGTCTCTTAACAATCTCAAGCTCTCACCGACAGCACACTTTTACAACGACCTTGGTTTAGACAGCCTCGACACCGTGGAGGTTGTCATGGCTATCGAAGAGGTTTGTCTGAAACTCATGCTCGAAAGCTCACATGTTAACTTATGGACAGGAGTTCAGTATTGAGATCCCAGACAAAGACGCGGATGGTATTCATAGTGGTAGGTTTAATCGAGTTTTTATCAATATATGGTCTTACATTATCGCTAGTTGATCATGCTGTGAAATATATTCTTGCACAACCTGATGGTAAGCTTATCCGCCAACTCGCTCTGACATGAGCCTGACCTCTTGTAGCTCACTGATTGCCGGGATTGTATTTTAGACATATAATGAGAAAATGGCGCCTAGAACTGCTGATATTAGAACAACCTATGATTCAGCGATTGATTAATTAAAATTTTGGAGGTCTTGAATGGTTAGTCGACCTATAGTCAGAATCAATTGGGTTCACGTATTCATGCCGTTCCCAACTTCATATCATCTGTAGATGTATTGTCTTTCTAATACTTGGTGATGCTGGTCTGATTATAATGTGAAGTGCACCCAAATTGTGCACACGCGCGCCAACCTAACCCCTGTAACTCCTAAAACTCTACCACATTTTGAGCACACGGTAGCTCACTTTGATCCGGTGATAAATCTTATTCGCCCGAAGACGCCCCTAACAAGAGACGGCAGGAAGGTGCCAATATATTTGACACTACACTTACTCGATCGCTCGGCGAAGATAGAAAATACAATATTTCAATCGTGGGAAGTCGTCATACCCACATGCCTTAACTGTCAACGTCCCCAGTTATAATACCTCAAAGGTTATCTGAGACCCTTAATTACCATAAATAATGTCTTCAGGGCTCACTCGAAGAAGAGGGGGAGGTGGTGTAATAACAACTGATCTTGAAGATGGGGACACAAACCGTGTATCTAGTCCTGGGCCTAAACCTGGGGCCTCTCGTGATAATGGCGGACCCGAAACATTCTATGAAAGTGGCGACCATGGACACAAAATTGCGTTTGATCCACGAGACATCAATGAAAGTGCTGAACGGAGTAAGCAGCCTAAGTTGACTTTAATGGAAGAGGTTTTGCTCTTGGGACTTAAAGACAAGCAAGTACGTATTTGCCAGGGCCCAGTCCTACTTCGTGCGCCTTCAAATAACAAAGATTAGGGGTACTTATCCTTTTGGAATGACAACATCTCCTATGCACTGCGAGGCTGCATCGTTATCGAACTTGCCTTTCGTGGGCGTGTCAGCATGCAAAAAGATTCAGCGAGAAAGCGCTTTCCACTTGCTGACAGGTTAATAGAAGTGATCGACGAAACACTTACGGGTGAAGTTCTGTTGGATGAAGCTCTGAAAATGATGAAGGCTAGTGAGAAAATGAGTGTAAGCGCTTGGATTGATCTCATGAGTGGTACGTCGCAACTGTGTCGATAGCTTCAATAGAACTACTGGACTCTAATTCAACCACACAGGCGAGACCTGGAACCTCATGAAGATCGGTTACCAATTGAAACAAGTCCGCGAGCGTTTGGCCAAGGGATTGGTTGATAAGGGCATCTTACGAACCGAAAAACGAAACTTTCTCCTATTCGATATGGCTACGCACCCTGTTGCTGATGGCGGAGCTAAAGAAGAAATTCGACGCCGTGTACGAAATGTCTTGACGCAACGGACAGTCGTGCTCTCGGGAAGTCCTTTCTTACCTGAGAATCTCGAATTCCGATATGTTCGGACTATTGTAATGGTGTGTGCCGCATACGCTGCCAATGTTCTCGAGAACGCTTTAGTCTCGCTCGGCCATGAATCACGAGAGAGAGCTTTTGCTCAAGTCGACGAGCTACTTGCCGAATACAGCCAGTGGCCCTTTGGCAAAAGGGCGGGCGGAACAACGGGAGGGCTCGGGGCTAATTTGGGCCAGGTCGTTGCGGATGAAGTCAGTCATAGCAAAGAAAAGGAGCTTCAGCTTGAGGTTAGATTCGAATCCTCTCGACATCGCTGACATTATTGGCTAACAAATCTCAATAGGTCGTGGCCGCATGTCTGAGCGTGTTTACTCGTTTGGACTCATTGCTATGATAAATCCGGCCACGATATTTGAAGGAATCAACATCTCCTAGAGTTCTGCGACTTAAGAATTTCTAGTCATACAAACTCCCACTTACCCACACCCTAACACCTGCACTTGTCCACCACATCATATCACAATTGTGCGTATAATTTTTCACATGGCGTTGTACGAAAAATTTTCGGTGTTTCTTATTTAACGCGCGGGTTTATTTTTGCGGCTGGGTTGCCGCTCGATTGATTTATTGCAAACATGTATGTATACCTCCATCTCTAACTCTCACAAAAATAAATACTCAGAAAACAACAATTACACGCTTTCATACGAACGAAAACACAAATTTACATATACATATCACACTACCATGATGATCAGAATAGAGGGGAAACGGGGCGAAGGAAACTTGGGAAAAAGAGGCTCAACCTCCAGCTGGCGATGCATCCCGTGAGAGTAGGCTTCATCGACGATTCAGGGTAGATAGAGGGAAGAAAGCAGTGGAATACATCATGTTTACAGATCTGAAGGAGTTTCGTCATTAAAGAAGAAGCTCGCTATCCTATATTGACATGGTAAACATGCTTACCCATTCTATCGCTTGCTCTCACGGCTCTTGCTGGATTACATGTCCACAATATTCAACTAGTTTCATTTCCTCTTCCCGGACCCAAAGCTGCCCTCAAACCCAGGTCGACTTTTAACCTTGGGTTTCTTGCTCTTAACAGATTTTCCCTTCCCCTTCCCCTTCGCTCCCTTTTCTTCTCGTCGCTGCCTCAAATTTTCTTCACGCTTCTTTTGCTTCATGGCCTGACTTTTGGCTACACCTTCCTTACGCTCAGACCACTCTTTCTCGCTCTTTTTTTTGGCCTTTTCTTTACGCTTAAGCGTTTTTTTGAGGAGGGAGGTAGTATCCCGCACCTTCTCGCCATGTGCCCTCTTCTTTGCATTGAGCCACAAATCTTTCTCTTCAATATCTGCTCGTTTCTCGGCATCGAGGCCCGCCATGCGCTGAACCTTATTCTCTTGTGCGAGAAGGGCAGCGGCAGTATCCTGGGACCTGCGCTTCTTGGGGGCTGTTTTGAGGTTACTAAGGTCCTCTGTGAGCTCCTGCCCGTCGGCAAAAGATATGCGACCAAAAGATAAATTATTACAAGGGGCGAGTGATGCTGGACTCATGATTCGTGATATAGGTGAGTTTCTCGTCGATAATATTGAAGCCTCGCGGCGAGCGTCTTCTTCAGCTTTATTCTTGAGGCGCAGGGCCTTCTTAGAGGCACGCCGCTGCTCCTCTTTCAATCTCCGCGCTTCTAAGAGCTCTTGACGATTGCGCGCCGGTCGGCCGTCTGGACCGTCAGCTTTCCGTGCTGCACGTAATGTCTCAATTCGGGCCGCGAGGCGAGATCGCAGAAGTTCGGGGTCAACTGGAATTTTGATCTGCTTTGGAGTGGCGACAGGCGAAGCAATGGAGGCAGTCGAGGTGTCAGAGCTTGGCTCGCCCGGGGTATCAAAGGTCGAAGAATTAGTTTCGGAAATGGTTGATGCAGTCGTTTCGGCCGGCGACACATTATCGGGGTCAAGCTTAACAACTGCATTTAAGGCTCCTTCGTCTAATACGATATCATTCTCTGGCTTATTGCTTCCAACCAACTCATCATCTACACATGACGATGCAGGTCGGTCCATACTGTCGGTTTTACTGGAAGGAATAATTGGGTTTGTACCTTTCATAGATTTCGAATTTAGTTCTCTTTTTCTATCTTGCTTCAGCTGACGCTTATCTTGGGATTTGATAGGTGATGGTAGGTCATGTATGGACTCCACGACTGAGACGGGCTTGGAAGTTTTTGGTTTTTTGCCTTTTTTTTGCTGCGGTAACTTCATGCCTTGCTTCGGGAGCTCTTTTCCTCCTTCTTCTATATCTAGGCCGTCTGCCGCCTCCAGTTCGTGGAGCTTTCGCTTCCGCGCTTTCTCGTCCATAACATCTTTAGCACTCTTGGCAGCGTCAGGGTCGAGTTTGGCCCGCCGGGCAGCAGCAGCTTGTTCCTTAGTCTGCTTCTTTTTCTTCCATTGATTCTATATTTCACACATTAGCTTTTGAGAGGCTGTAGAGATATTTCCAGAACTGACGCTATTATCTTCGCCGTAGTAAAACTTAGCTGGAATGAGTGATAGGAGACCATCAAATGACTTTGCGTGCCCTAATAATCGATCCTGACAATCCAGTGAGCCTTCGGCAAGCCAAAAATGTGGGGGATAGGCAAGCCACCCTGAGAGAATCGTCTGCCATGCTGTCCACCAGCAGATACAATATATGTCTAGGCTATCCCTTATGCTTCACTTAATTCGGTACAAATTTCTCTTGGTGTTATTGCGAGTGTTGTGTGTGAACTCTTGGAATTAAAGAGGAGGAATCGCGATGCCGACTAATTTTCGTAAAAGACCTGTTGGTGTAGCCAAGGTTAACGTTTGCGAATCGGAAATTTGTTTCCTCGCTTAATAATGTGACAGTCTCATCATGCGACTCTATCGTTCAATCGTTCCAGCATGCCTCTCAAAGAAAACAAAAATGCGTGACTCGAGCTAATTCTGTACTCTAGAAGTCTTGCTTCCGCTTAATCCCGACAAACTTACTTCGATACTTCGAGTCCATGACAAGACCACTATGAAGGAGTTCATGTATGTTTAGTTGACAGAGCAACGCAGCCACTCATGCACGATGATTCTCCCGAAAAAACTTTCTTGCATACACGACTCCGAACCTCTGGATTTAGACACCTGCCGCTGCACTACCGAAATTTTGGATAAGTCGAGATAAAATGGCGACGGAAGTGAAAGCAAGTTCATTAACCGAAATCACCCAAATTGCATCCAACCCACCAAACTATCCTCGCAATCCAACCGTGACTCCAAGGGAGCCGCTAGTGCTATACATCGCGAGGGTACCAGGCTGTAGAGGCAAGATTAGCTTTATCTTCATAAATCCCCATGTAGAAGCGCTAACTTATAAAAGACTTAATTTTGACTACTATAAAGCCATTCATGAATAAAGTAACTGCTGAAGACATTGCCTCTTCTCTATACTACTTGCACCTCAGCTCCCCCAGCGATCCAGTCCATGTGCCCCCGCCAGAGAGTGCGCCTCCGCCAAAAAGGTCCTTGTCTCGAAAGCCGCTACCAGAATCCGCCAAAGCATTGAGTCCCCTTAATCAAATCAGCACACACCGGTACCCTATCAGTTGCGTGAGGCGTAAACCTGTTGGATCAGATGTGGCCTCTTCCCGAGCTTCCCATTACCAAAGCTCTAAGGAGTATCCAATCCCTCCCGGACAATACCCAACTGATCCTCGCGCCTTGGCTACAGAAACGGCGGAAAGAAACTCACGGAGGCAAGCTGATAACGAGGCGGGTAAATACTCAGTGCTAGAACCTCATCTAAATTCCTATCCTCACAAAAATCAAGATTCTACGCCCGATGCGAGTTCATGTTTGGAATCTAGTCCTACGCAGGTCCAGCAAGAGGAGTTCTTGGTCACTATCGTTCGACGAGATCCTTCTTCTGGGGCACAATGGAATGTCGGCAACATATCAGGACAACCTAGAGCTAGTGATATGAAGAAAGGATGGCAACTACCACGATCGTCTCGAAAGCCATATTTTGATATTTCAGTAAACTTAACGACACCAGGATATCTTCACTTCAGAAATCTAGATATCACGTGCAGTGAAACCTCCTGTGAAAACACAAATCCATCAACTCGTAGTTCCCACGAACCTAATCTCTCCTTCGAAAGAAAACTAATAATGGAAGGCACACGCCTGTGGATTAGAAGTTCAGAGCAACAGCGAAAAACAGACTCCGAAATCTCTAATAGTTTAAGTCCTAGACATGAGTTCAAGTCACGGAGAGTCAGCTATGAAAATGGCGATGGAAGAGATGGAAAGGGATATGTCTTGTATTCTCCGTGGGGGGGGCGGTGTAAATTTCTTACCGGATCAGGTGGACGAAGTCTACGCTGCCATCACACCCTTCCGCCCCCGACTTCTGCAAATTGTAGAGACGCAAAACACCAGACTATGATGGTTTCTGAACTTCGCTTCGACATCCGTCCACCTTCAACCTCACTAATGGCCCATACAAAACTGTATGAAGCTAAAAAAATTTCTACATCAAAATTTAACAAGCTTCGTAACAAGACTCTTGGTTTAAAACCAATGGCCCCCCCTCTTCCACCTCGGTCCCATTCGTCCCTTAGCTCCCCCATATATCAGGGTGAAGAGGAACAACAAATCAATGAATTATCAAGGACTATCTCAATGTACACGTCAGACGAGAGAGGCCATCAGATAAATCGTAATTGCTATAATCAGGTAGAATCAGATACAGACGACGCAAGGTTAGATCTTAGTATCGGACGAGAGAAGGCAGGCGGCGGAAACAGCGGGAAGCGTGCAAAGCTGGGGAAAATGATCGTTTATGATGAAGGAATCAAGATGTTGGATCTTATTATAAGTGCAAACATGGGAATATGGTGGAGCATATGGGGATCATAATCTCACTGACTGGTAGGTTCAGAACACTAGTTCGTTACTTAATCAAAAAGAAATTCCAAAAACCGAGGCCGAAGACATGAACGTGATGAACAGCATGCGATATCTCGCTGCCTGACGTCTTTGCTCATAGCTGTTGCCATAGACATTTTTATTTCTACAATCTCCTGTTGGGTTGTTTTTATTATGGCTTCCTCTTGACTCTAAGCAGCTGCAAGCATCATGCCGGAGTGCGCCTCGGGATAGAGTGAATGGATGCTTCTGTAGAACAAAATTAGTTTGCCTTCAGAATACCAAGACGCATGGAGAAGATAAAAATACCATTAGCTAACATGTAACTTTCACGGATGAATTTTGAACCCTTATCCGTAGAGTGGGTGGCAGTCGGCGGATTTCAGGAATGCAAAAGTATTAGGCCCCAATAAAAGTAGTTAGAGAAATCAACTTGGATTGTTTTAGTTGTTGTAAAGGTGCCAACGGCTTCATGGAAGGCACAGATTGGCCTCCTACTCAATAACTTTTCTATTTTGGAGATTATTTTCTCCGGTACGGCAGTAGTTGTGAGGTTTACATACCGCCCCAAAATGCTCGACCGACATCAACAAAATGTCATATACTTGCATACTTGGTCTTCCATCTAATGCGAAATATACTGAAAAACAGCAGATACTTCTGGCTCATCCACCTCCTGTCGTAATAAAAGGTCCTGGATACTTTTCAAGCCAGCATTGACAAAGTGATTCCACGTGCTTGTATCACCATACATCATGGCTGGTGCTTTGATGTACTGTCGACCATCTGGTTTACAGCGCTTACACTTGAAAGTTTCATGAGTATCACTGGTTGTTCCCCCACGATACTGAAAGAGCTCTCGCAGGCTGTCAAGGGTGAAGTGACGTTCGACGTCTTCGGCAGAGTCCACAACGCATGAAGAGAGAGACTGCTTGTGAGACTGCCGCTGGAAGATTTTCTCCTCAATAGTACCCGTTGCGATAAAGCGATAGACAAAGCAGTCTTTCTTCTGACCGTCACGCCACACGCGCGCAAGCGCCTGTTGATCAGCTGCCGGGTTCCAGTCGGGGTCAAAGAGGACAAGCCGATTCGCACCAATCAAGTTGAGACCACAGCCACCAGCCTTGCTACTAAGTAGAAATACAAACTCTAAGCCGTTTGGATCATTGAACTTGTCGACAAGTTTTTGTCGCTTCGTCACGTTCATGGTGCCATCAAGTCGAAGGCTTCCATATCCACGTTCGCGACAAAGCCGATCAAACATGTCCAAAGTCTGGGTGTAATTACTGATTAAAACTATTTTGTCGTTTGTATCTTGCCGAATTCTAGCTAACATTCGATCGAGAACTTGCATTTTGCCCGAGTAGTGAGCTTTAAATTCTCTATCTCGACCGCGTGAGTCTTTTGGAACGTAGTCTTCTGGCCATAGATTTTGGCTTCCAGGCAAGTCATCAGGAAGTTTGAGGAGATCTGGATGGTTGCAGAGCTTCTTAAGCATACCTATTGCTTTGAGGGGCTGACTACCCTTGCCTCGAAGTAGCGCCTGAATTTCGGGACTTGTAATGAAGAGGTTGTATAGGTCGAGTTGAAATGGTGCCAAATTACAAAATACAACATGTTCGTATTTGACTGGAAGGTACTTGGAAAGGATGTCGTTGGTTCGTCTGATGATAAACTTATTAACTACTTCAAGTAGCTCTTTAACAGCAGCATCTCCTTTTTCTCGATCCTTTTCACTTCCAGCAGCATCTCGTCCTTTTAAAATAGGGAGCTCATACTTCTTTCTGAATTCCATTCGTGTTCCAAGTAAGCCTGGATTGGCAAAGCTTATCAATGAGAAATACTCAGTCAGATCATTCTGAATTGGAGTGCCGGATAGAATAACCCGCCGCGATACGTTAAGATTATTTAGCGCTGTAAATGTTTGACTATCACCATTTTTAAGGCGATGGCCTTCATCACAAAGCATAAGGCCAATTTTAGTGTTTTTAAGTCCGTCTACATTGAGTCGTAATGTTTCATACGACACAATGATAACAGGACGTGTGACCGATCGACCCTCAGCAATAGCCCATTGTCGTAACTGCTGCTGTAATTCCTCTTTTTTGGCTTTTCCATCAATTGCAAATGGCTGGATGGCGTCGGGTCCAAGCCACTTTACAAGTTCATTGGCCCAATTTTTAACTAGACTAGAAGGACAGGCAATGATAGCCTTTTGTATAGTTGGCTTACCAGCGTCTGTAGATTGTTTTAATAGCGTCCACATGAGTGTAATACACTGTAAAGTTTTTCCGAGACCCATCTCATCGGCCATAATACAACCATTTGCGTTTTCCTCGATCATTCCCGTAACACATCTATACATAAACTTTACTCCTTCGATTTGATGAGGCCTCAAGACTTTGGAAAGCTTAGGGTCAATGACAACTGGGACTTTTGGTCGTTCACCCTCTATGGTTTTTTTGATGCCTAAAATTTCAGCCAAGCTTTTGTGCACTATAGGTGCATCAACTTTTGGCGCTTCTTCTACACCATCAACTTTAGCTTGTTCAATGCTTTTTGGCTTTTCATCCACAGTAGGATCGTAAAGTACAATAGCAAATTCACCACTGGGATCATGTAGTGCTTTTGCAATGAATACAGCTCCTTGTCGTAACCCAAGCGTTGGTGGGGGCCGGTTGGGATTGTAGGTTGTGACATCCTTATTGACCAAGGGAATTGCAAAGCGTTGCCGAAACATGACTTGCTTATCTTTCACCTGAAACACTGGATAGCGATTGGCATCCCTATTTGCAAGAGCTAGGCGGTCTTCGTTCGTCCATGGCTTCTCACCTTCCTCTTTCTCTCCATCGGCACCACTGTAGTCAACCTTTCTTCTCTTTCGAGCAGGTTTATCCACAGTTCGGGAAATCTGTGCAGTTCCTGGACACTTAAAGGGCTTTATGAGTCGATCGGTTGATTGAGGTGTGTATAGCTTTCGAAGGGATTGAGATGCGGGTGGTCGATTAGTTGGTGGAAGTGATTTTACTTTGTCATCACTTAGGCTCAGACTGAAAGGCTTTTTAAGGCCCGCCATGATACGCGTAAAGCCTTCAATTTAACGAATTTATTCCACTGTCGGTAATAATATGCTTGTAAGGTCTTTTTGAAATATGACTAGCTCTGTGATCTAGCAAATGAATAGATGCAAATTTTTGACGATATTCTCATTCGTTATCCAAAACATTCTGCAATATGGCTAGTGAAGGAAAGAGTTACTGTTGTCGAAGTTCATGTGTGGCGAACGCGAACGCATAACAAACTACGACTGCCCTCCTGACGTCATGTGACATGACAGTCCAGTCCCAAAACGGATCGATCTTGACGCGTTTATTGAGCACAGCTATTTCGCTATTGCCTCATGTTTCTAGACCGATTGGCAACTGTCTTTTTTTTTATCATTATTGTATGATTTCCAGTCATCTGGTTCTTTCACGTTCCTCATAGACCTGTGCATATGCCCACAGCTTTAGCGTCAGTAACAAGCTTGGTAACAAGCCCCCAGTTATGGCATGACTGGGACTTAATGGATAGGAAAAATATAATATTGGGAAGGTATCAAAGGCTTGTGCTCTAGTGGCCGAGGTTTAGGAGGAAATCGCGATTTGACGCGTCAAAATCAGTTTCTCTGGACGATTGGACTTGACATGTTCAATACACGGGTGAATTCAGAGGTGGTCCTGTCATTCAGGTGGGACGAGGTTTATCTTACTTATATGGTAGTTAACCTGATCCAGCCCGGCCCCACTTGTGCTCAAATTCCCATAACAGTGCAGAGGGTACCAGTTGCCCAGCACGTTACTAAATAAATCAGACCATTCTTTCCTTCCTTCCTTTCTATTTTTTCCCTACATTCCCAAGTCTCTGAAGATGTCTTCTGCTGACTGATCTTTCTATCTTTTTGATGAAACTGGATTGAGGATTTGAGACAGCCGTATACGGAAAGATCCATTGATCAGAATAGGGATCGTGCTAAACTTGCATTGCATGAGCAGTGTATACACTCTTCACGAAGCATGTAGGAGCAATTCCTCATGTGGGTCTGCCAAGTAGAGTCCGGATAGCTTGGACACATATCCCACTCGAGACAGTAGATCGCTGGTTCAGATCCAGCAAAACACAACCACATTTCTCGCGGCGCTGGTATGCATGGATGACTAAGGCATGCTTGGATAATCAAAGGTTTTGAATTTCCCTTTGGTAGTTACTTACAGAGGAGGGTCGACTATTTGTGTAAGCAAGCATACCTCATAGTAGTACTGGCGAATGAAATCCAGAGTATGAATGTCTCTAACGCCAAAAGAGTCATTCCACGTGTATACATAGCACCGGTCATGTGTCATAGCTAGATAGCTGAATACACATTAAATGATTTAAAAAAAATTTAAAATTTCTCATGTGGGCCTGAGGCTTGATTCATGCCTTAGGCATAAAAATGGACTAAGGTTTCATCAACACTTCAGGGGCGTCCGTACATAGAAATCCATATACATATACACCTTAATCAGTCACCACTTCTGCATTAGCAAAGCCTTTCTCATTACCTGTGATATCACAGAGATTTACCCTCTCAAATCAATAAAGGAAACATTGTAAAATTGGGAGGCACGAGACAAGTAGATATTGGTTTGTTTTCGCGTTCTTAATGTCTTGAGCTAAAATTCAAAGTCTCTTTTGAGAGCTTGAGCACGAGTAGGGCCGCGCTGGATCAGGTTAACTACCATATAAGTAAGATAAACCTCGTCCCACCTGAATGACAGGACCACCTCTGAATTCACCCGTGTATTGAACATGTCAAGTCCAATCGTCCAGAGAAACTGATTTTGACGCGTCAAATCGCGATTTCCTCCTAAACCTCGGCCACCGCGCGCCCATGTCCTTGACATCCTTGTTGACTTCAACATATAAACGTCATCCCTGATCTCATCGTTGCTCTGGCCTTGCATCTCCCTATCCTGCCGTTGGGTTGTTGTCGGCATTGGAGATCTAAACTCCTGCGAAAAAGTATATCCCTTCGGTATATGTTCCCTTTTTTTCCCTCTTGTGTACACGTCTCGTTTACATCATGACTTTCCTCATTAGGACGCGTGGAACTAGATGATGTGACGAGTATGGAGGTGATTCGGAGGTGTCAGATCCGCTGAAAAATGCATGGTCGCAAGTATATAAGGAATTTCAAAGGTCCAGCTTTTTTGAATATGACCCTCAGATTGACCTAGGTCTATTCGTTTTTTTGCATCAGATTTTCATTGCGTATGCAGCTATCTGACTCTGACACAATATCAAAGAAAATTACACAATATTTTGGAAATGGAGACACGGAGTGTTGTGGACGTACGGGCCCTCCATTTCGTCTAGGTTCCCGACACGATCTCGTGTGTATTGAAGAGGTTGGAGTAGGTAATATGGTAGCGCTTCAGGCTACCTATTGGAGACATGAGCAGCTATATGGCATGGGCGCAAGGAGGTTATTAGGGGTTTTCTGTGCCTAGATGGCGCCACACTCGTTTATGCTGTGGCTTAGGCTCTGTGTCGCTTACACTTGTACTTGTAGCGCACATTTCCCACACTTTCACCTTTAATCCGAACATGACACTCTTTTAGTCGACTTCTACTTTCGTTTCATGAATATTGCGCTCATTTCATTGCGCGATATTTCCAATAAAAAAGATGACTTAATGTAAAAGAAGAGCATTCATGCTTCGGATTTCATTTATAAGTACCACTGCGAAATTATGGTGGAATTTTCTTCACCCCAAGTCAACCCTCATCCGTGAATCCCCACCCAGGGGAACGTCTCAAAAACCCTGGGTTATCCAGACATGCCTCCATCATCCGTTCACATTTCTCCGCGCGAAATATGGTTTTTGGTGTCTCCTTCCCAAGTGGATTAGGTACCCAGGCTACTCAAACTATACCGGAGAACACCACCAGGAGGCGGACCACCACACCTTTCATCGTCTGCTTATTTTTATAGTGTCGGCTGCACTCTCGCAAGCGAAGTTTTAGCGCGCATAAAGCTCAATTCGTAAAACTCTTGCAAAGTTCCAAAGTTCACGCCCTTCGAAGTTACATCCGTCCTTCGCATCATCTTGTCAACTTGTCCTGATCCCTCACATCTATCCCAAAGAACTCTCCCAAATGCCCGTCAAGATTGCATCCATCCTCCAGGTCGTCCTGTAAACTTATCTTGATACACCTCATATTCATCACAAAGAACTATCTCCTAGATTTGTGCGCCACGCTTCACTTTCTTCACTGGGTGTAAATATCGGCACGGGCGTGTATTTGGTGGCCAGCTGAGGCCAGAGAAAGTCGACGTGGGGCATTATCATTGCGTGAGGATATAGTTTTACTTGTAAAACAGATGAGTTTTGGGCAGGAGCTTATGATAGGAGGGAAAGATCGAAATGGCGGAGTACGCTGAATCGTTGCCCCGTGGGCCAACTTTATGGTATTGTACTTTTTGACAAAACTTGGCACTGGAAGAATATTTCACTCCCGAGTTCATAGTGAACACTGCGTACATGTGCCCATTCTCAGCCCTTTATTAATACTTCTCGTCAAACAGTAACGTGCTTTATAAGTCCCCGTTGGATTGTATGCGTGGGGAAGACTGAAGTCTAACGCCATCACCAACTACTTTTCAATCAAAGAAGGGGAAGTTATTTGCAGATGTGAGATGTAGAATAATGGTCAAGACAACTGCAACCCTCCTACATAGTCCTTGAACCAATCAGACGCATGTTAGAGATGTCGGAGCCAGTCAATTTATTTTCGTCTAGGTCAGAGGCACGCAACGCTAATAATGGATTCTAGGAAAAGAACTACTATATCATCAACGCATCCTAACGGGTGGTGCAGCGTGTACGTGTTTAACTAGCAGGACTAGTGACTAAGAAAAATTATTAAATCGAGCCGCGTATGATCACAGCAAAACGTGTAGCCTGTGGACTTCAACCACACGTGAGCCCAAGTTTCTCATAAACCTGGATTTCAACAAGCTCGGTAGACTTCTCGCACAGTGACCTGGAAACGGCATCGCTCGAGCAGTTGCTTTCGCCACGCAGTGATAGCCCTTCTTTGTCTACTCTTGTAAACCTTAGGAAATTTTCCTCGCACACAGGGAACGAAGAGAGCTGCCTCCTCAAGCTGCTCAATCTACTCGTCATGTCTGCCGACTTCTGGGCTGGCTACATCAGTGGCATCGTTGGTATTCTTGTTGGTAACCCGCTAGATATTATAAAGGTCCGTCTTCAGTGCTCACCGTCGTCTCGCATTTGCACCTCCCATGCTTCCCCTACCCGTCAGGTCATGCTCAGTCACAGCCTCATTCTCGGAGCCGCCGCCCCGACAATTGGTTATGGAGCATTGAATGCTCTTCTTTTTACGACATATAATCGTACTCTTACTCTCCTCAATTCTGATGGCCACCATGAGTCCATCAGTCCCTGGATGGTGTTTTCGGCTGGTGCCATAGGTGGCCTCGCGACTTGGGTTATCTCAACGCCGACAGAACTTGTCAAATGCCGAGTACAGGCCTCACCTGCCACAGGAGGGCTATCATCCTTGGTAGTGGCTAAGTCAGTTTTTCGGTCCGAAGGTCTCCGCAGCCTCTACCTCGGTGGTAAGGTCACGGCTTTGCGCGACAGTATCGGCTACGGCGTTTACTTTAGTACCTATGAGTTCGCCACCCGTTATGCTTCCTCTTTTTCATATCAGAAGGACTTATTTGAAGAGGTTACGAAGGTGCTCCTTTGTGGGGGTTTGGCCGGAACACTAAGTTGGGCCTGTGTTTTTCCTTTGGATGTGATCAAAACTCGTTTACAGACCCAGCCCCCAAAGTGGATTCCTAAATCTAGATCAACGGGAATGATGCTTGCCCAAAGAGCCGGCGCCGTCAAACTCGCAAGAATGGCATACAGGCAAGAGGGACTCAGTATCTTCTTCCGGGGACTCACCGTGTGCAGTCTCAGGGCATTTTTAGTCAACGCTATCCAGTGGATTGTCTATGAACGAGTGATGAGAGGACTGGTCCGGGCTCATGATAATCCTGCGCTGGGGCGAGAAGAATAATCAAAGGCCTGATGAAGGGTTTTCATGTCAAGGCATTAGCCAACACATAAACTTTCACGCTAGAATATCCGAGAGAGCCAGGAGATCTTGATCCACATAATTTTATCTAATTTCCTCTATTCATTACATTTTCTGTTTCCCAAATAATTATTTACCATCCAACAATGTCTGACAACCTTGACCTATGATTACTTGAGAGTAGAATATTTAGATTTTAGACCTCATATAGGGAGGCCTGGATGAGCGATTCGCCAACGCCGGCTCTTAAAGCTATAGACCAAATGCGAGTAGAGAAACAACCTACTCGTGTACCTTCGCTCAGTCATGCGTGATAAATATGGAGATGAAGAAGATTAGAATGATGTCCAACGCCACTAGGCACCTAACCGAGCCTACTCCCAAATGCCAGTCTACAGTCTACACGCGCGTTTGCGCCGGGATAAGGTACAAATGGCGGAAGAATCTACGAGTACTGTAACTCTGCGTTTCTTTTCTCACCACTGAGCCCAACCCTGCCTTGCACTTGCGGTTGATATTGTTGAAGATTTTGGACTTGGTGCTGTACCAATGGCTGTGGATTATGGTGCTGTCTCTGAAAGGCTGGAAAGTCCTCGTAAGTAAAGTTTGTCTTAGTGGCCTGAGACGCATTGTTATCCCACTTGTCCACATCATCTAAAGAGCGGTAGACATAGGTAGGACCGCCTCCACGACCTCTACCTCTTCCAGCACGATTGCCACGCTGAGTAATTGTGCTGCGAAGGTTGCCTCGACCTCCTCTCTTACTATTATTGTTTGGGGTACCTCCGCCTCGAGCACTCGTTGTGTGGTTGCTATACGCATAATTCCGGTCTCGATTGTAAGCATCTTCGTCGGGAGCATGTTTGCGCTTGTGACTTTTGTTTGGGAAAAGACTTTCAAAATCACTTTCCTGGGGATCTTCCTCTTCTATTCGTAAAAGGACCTTCTCTCCGACAATGCTCTCAAAGACAATCTGCTTATCTGCTAGCACTGGCTGCCAGTTTTGTATCTTACCTGCGTCAATGGGACGGGCTCCTTTCCGTAATGCCAGTATCACAATGGGGAGTGGGTTTTCAGTATAGTATATTTTGGTTTCTGGAACCGGACGAACACGCGCCGCCCAGATGTTATTTTCATGAATGGCAGTTCCTGTGACTTGCCATTTGGTCATACTACCTACACCCCCAATTTTTGCCAGCACACTGGTGTGTGCTGGCCGGGGAGTGATTAGAATATTGTTGGCCAGGAACTTTACCTCGGATTCTGGCAAGTTGGGTGGTATTTGAGCTAGAGTAAGTAATTTTTGGGAGTCAGCTTGACTGATCATGTAGCCTGTATAAAAGACTGTTTTCTTGATCAGAAACGGTCTCCCACGTTTGCTTCGTAAAATTGGGAGGTTATGATCATTGAGCAGTCGTTGAACCTCTGCCGTCTCAGTGACAGGATCCAGCTGAGTTACTCTATCGGCCACATGGATTACTTCAGCAGCAATGAGGCCGCGGGTAGCTTTCAATGATTGGGCCTTGTTATAGTTGGCAAAGAATTCCCGGAAGGCCCTGATATGTTTGCCGCGATCTTCGTATATTCGAATCTCTTCAGCATCCTTGTAGGTCTCTATCAAAGACTCAAGAAATACCTGTTTAAAGTTCATGGTGCTTGAGAAACGCTGATTGTTTGGGCCGGATACAGGCTTTAACGAGATAATGTCAAATTCAAGCTTCTTACTAGCAATCATTTTTTCTATGAGATCGGAAAAAGCGCTCTCAGATCGACCTGTCAAGAGAACTGTCAATGCATCTTTCTGCTGCATGCTTAACTCAACGAGTTCGACTATCCTTTCATTCCACCAGCCTTTCCATGCACGCGGTTCCTCTTTCTCAATGCCCTCGCCAGTAGCTGAAAGTATGCGCGCATCATGCCACCAACCACCACTGATACAAGTGTCTTGAGACTGAAGGAAACCTATAGTCGCGCCGATCCACAGCTTGGGATTTGGAAGCGGACTGTTGAAAACTAGAGATATTTAGACTATTGCTGTTCCCATGAGACTTGGGTAGTACCTACGCGTGTTATCAAAATCGTATACATGTAGCGTTTTGATGCTATCAATAGCTTTGAGCCGTAAGCGTCAATCTTCAAGAGCACTAGTCAGATCCTTACTCGGGAGTTCTTTATTTGCCACAGACCAACGATTGAGGGCTGTCAAAGTGTGGGAAGGTGTGGATGTGTTGCCATTTTGAAGAACCGACATTCTCCTTCGACCGTCGTAGGTCTTTAGGTAGAGCCTGAGTAGCTTGGAATACAATCAATCGAAATCAAAATTCACAATCGATTGATCTTGTGTCTTGCGCTTACGGACAATACTCTTCCTGAGCTCTTGTTACTAAATGTAGAGAATTGCGGAAATACGAGGGTGGTAAAGCGTGTCAGCCTTGGCGTCGCTTGGCCCTATTTGTTAAGCCACCCCTTAGCCTCATTGACGATCCCAATTCACTTCCATCAGTCATGTTCACCGCTCCTTACCAAAAGATTTCATTCATAAAATATGTTGGTAACCGAGTTCTGCTCCAGTGTCACATCAAAACTGGAGTCGCCATGGTACGAAGTGGTATTATCAGCGTCTCAGATAATCAAATTAAGATTGGTGTAATGGCACAGCCGCGTGACAGTGAGGCCAACAGTGAAGTCTGCAGGGTCATGAGTGAGGTACGTTTAACTTTGAGTTGATAGGGCATAGAACATTAATCACGAAAGATACTCGTAGCTATTTAAATGTCCTAGATCAGACGTGGAGATTGTTCGAGGTCATAAGTCACGGGTCAAGAGATTAGCTATCTCGCAGATCGGCGTAAAATGGGGCGACAACGAGGAAAAAATAACTACTGAGATAAGAAAGAAGTTGGAGCAAGCTGTAATCAAATAACGATTAAAGCTTATACTTTTTGTATCTGTACGCCCCTCGAGTTAGATTCTCGCCAACTCACGAGAAAGCAATTTCAACAAGTTCCACGTTCATTTTAGAATTCTCACCGGACAGTGTAATACTTAAGACAAATCAAATTCCAACGATCCAACCACTCGTCGTCAAATATCAAGGCAACTTTATCATAAAAAAGGTGTCGATTAAAGCCTGATCAACTATTCAAAGGCGTGGTAAACTAGCCACTTGTCTTGAAGTGCATCTGAATATCATAAACCTAGCTTGGAATCAGTCTGAAGTGATAATGAGCTTTTACAGATAGATTAAGCGTGTTTCATACACAAGCTGACGAGGAGACTCGCTATCCGAAGGACGAATACTCAATACCTTCTAGCAAGTTCCCCCATAAACGTGCAGACGAGAACCTCTTTTGGGGGTAAAACTTAACCACGAGTAAGTATGAGTCTAGGTCCACTCGTTAAGCTTTCTGTCCGAAGAAGTGATGCCAGTCATATTATCTAAATAATCTTTCCAAAAGATAAAGCAACCATACAAAAATTAAATAAAAGTGTAAAATTTGGCGAGGGCTTTGCCTCAAATTCACGTGATTCTTCAAAAGGCGAGTACAAATTTAAGAATGATAGTTAATTTTTTGTGGTGCGAGTCCATCATAGCACTATCACATCTAATCCTACCCCTAATAAGGCTCTTGAGTATCATCACTACCTCTAAAGTCCTGCACGTAGATCGTATATGAGGGCAAGACTGAACACCTGCACGCGGAGCCCTCTACGAACCTGGGAATGAAATATTCTCCTAGAGCCAAGTTCAGTCAAATTTCGCAATATCAAAGAAGTTGGCCCACGAGGCAATGATTCAAATTACTCCACGTCAAATTTTCACTCCAAACGAGTTGGACCCCAACCTAAGTCTTGTCAAGTCTACAAGTACAATGTAATACATCATCATTTCAATGACCACACATCTCCTCGACTTTCTTAGGCCTCAGCTGGTCGCCAAATACACGTCCACTCCGATATTAATATCCAACGGAGAAATCAAAGCGTGGCGCACAAACCTGGGAGGCAGTTCTTTGGGATAGATGTGAGGGATCAGGACAAGTTGACAAGATGATGCGAAGGACGGATGTAACCTCGAAGGGCGTGAACTTTGGAACTTTGACAAGAGTTTTACGAATTGAGCTTTATGCGCGCCAAAACTTCGCTTGCGAGAGTGCAGCCGACACTATAAAAATAAGCAGACGATGAAAGGTGTGGTGGTCCGCCTCCTGGTGGTGTTCTCCGGTATAGTTTGAGTAGCCTGGGTACCTAATCCACTTGGGAAGGAGACACCAAAAACCATATTTCGCGCGGAGAAATGTGAACGGATGATGGAGGCATGTCTGGATAACCCAGGGTTTTTGAGACGTTCCCCTGGGTGGGATTCACGGATGAGGGTTGACTTGGAGTGAAGAAAAAGCCGCCATAACTTCGCTGTGGTACTTGCAAATGAATTCTGAGGGATGAGTGCTCTTCCTTTACGCTGAATCATCTATTCTGTACTTTTCTTTGATATTGTGTCATAGCTAGATAGCTGCATACGCAACTAAAATCTGATGCAAAAAAAAATAACCCCGTGAATCAAAGCAGCATCATGTCTACGTACAACCAGCTGTCGTTCTCGGCTTCAATTGACCCAGGCGGCCAACCACACCCGTGCCTATTTGGGATTGCTGCCGCAATGGAGTAATCAGAACGCGAACGAAAGCAGAGAATCAACCTAGCTCAAGAGTTCCTGCCAAACATCGACTCCTGGGCAAAATCCAAGCCGGGAACTGATGGCGCGGTCCTAATCGCGCAATTCATCGAAAAAGTTTCACCTATTGTGACAGCATTCGCAATAGGAAAGGCCGATACCACAGTCCCCAAAGGTAAGACCCTAAATCCTGAAGTCACGCAGATAATAACTTCTGCGCCCAGGGCGACGAAAACAAGCGATAAACCGCACCACCAACTGTCCCGAGGGCCAAATGAAACTGCACACCCGTGGGCTACAGTAGCTCGGAAAGCGACTAAGCCCCCAGATCCGCCCGTATTTCCCACCCCTCGAAGATCTACTACAAATGTAAAGCCTAATACAAAAAACTCCCAAAAAAAGGCGAATGTCTCTATCAGATTGGGGCAAGAACATGGCTGGCGCAATTTGTCACCTTCACAATAAAGAAGTTGGTCGATGAGAAAGCTGGAGTTGCAGCATTGGCGATCATAGCTATACATCGGGCTCGATCAGGCCTATCTCAAGGAGTTGTATGATCGACGTTCCGTAGGGTATGAGTTGATAGATGTGTGGAGTGTAGTGATAATTCCTATGCGGAAGAATTATAGAGGCGGCGTAAGGTATAGTATTCACGGAAAACTTAAAGGTGAAGTGAGTAATAGATGAGATTGGTTCAACAATAGAGGTCTTCTTAAAAAAGAGATAAGTAAATGAGTGTAAGGTATCAGAGTAAACAGAAGCCGTTGTGTGAAGGTGAATACTCTTTCAATCTGGATATATATGTACATCAGATAACATAACAGCCCATAGACTCAGTCTCAAATAGATTTACTACGCAATTCCTATGAAACGATCCCATTTGCCAAAGTCTGTCCTACTTGTTTAGAATCTTGATCTAACGCCACCTTGTATTTTGGCATGAGACTTCCCATGAGACAGCGTCCCAAGTTTCACTAATTTTATCCATGAAATCCTAGCAATGGAGTGCGCATCAAATGGGCTTCGAGAAACAATACTGGGAGTTGCAGGATTATTTCAGAAAGAAAGCATCTGCATCAAAGAAGCATATTACTGAACGTCCATAATAGTGCCACATATACCACAACATATCTGAACGCTAGAAGATAGTACTTCAGTAACTAACGAAATAGTTTTAATAGAACTTCAAGCTAGATTGTCACTGCCCTACACCATAGTATTGAGTACAGATGCAATGACGTAGCAATTAGTCAGTCTTGTATAGAGCTACCTTGTATGGAATGTTTGTTTGTTTTTTAATACATTCGGTCCTAAGCTAGAGCTATGTTTTCCACATTGGGTCAAGGACCGGCGGATCCGGCTGGGTTCCCTGTAACTTTTCCTACAGCCTAACTCGTTCTAACCTCGTGAATCGCTACCAAAAGTGCAGCTGATTGAACAAGAACGAAAAATCACAAAAATCAAAACAACTCCAAATACCAGAAGATTCCTCCATATTGGACCCAGTAAATGCGCTCCTCACACATTCCCTCGTCCGTCACACCTTCCAAATGACAAAATTTATTCAATCTCCGCTGAGAGCAAGAGATGAATTAGCAGGCACCTTTGATCCAGCCGGTATCCTGCTATTGGTTAGTAGATGCCCCAAAAGGGGACATCGTCGAGGTTGCTGTGTCCTCAAACTTCTTCTTCAGATCCCAGAGCTCCGAAACCTGTTGCCTCAGCCATCGAGACATCCTTCGCCGCGGCGATGATCGCTTCTTCGGCCTTTTTTGCTGCAGCCCTGGCTCGTGCCACCTTCGCGAACTCCCCTTGTTCGATGTGGCGAATCCACGCGAGCTGCTCTTTGGTCACCGGTCCGGATATTTTTGGTCTAACTTGGCAGGCCCGAGAATCCAATCGGTGAGGTCCCCCACAGTTGCGACAGCGTGTGAGGGCCTTGCACTCTGTTTCGGAGTGCATATTTGATCCGCAGTTCCAGCAAGCCGGAGCGCGGGAGCAACCACGAGTGGCGTGGAAGCCCAAACAGCGTTTGCACTGTTCAATTGATCGACGAGGCTTATGGATGGTAGCCATACCCGAATCGTCGAAAAGGCGGAAGCCCGCACGAGGGGCTTCGTCCCGGTGAAAAAGGGCATGCCAGTTTCGATAAGGCGATCCAGGCCGACATGTCCCATGAGGTCGGACCTGGATTGGATACGCGCTGGTCGTAAGGAAGATCTCAGCGGTGACACTTGCAGCATCGGTCGCTACGGGGCCGTACTGTGAAACGATACTTACAGGTACGTTCGGTATCTGTAAGGCGACGCGATCCGAAGATGCTTCGAGTTTGGCGTTTTCACTTGCCAGCTTCGGAGAGACATCTAGGATCTCTTGTCGTATTTTTTCGTTCTTTGCTATAATAGCAAAGCCGGTCTTTACTTGATGAATCGAGGTTATATCATTGTAAGAGAGATTAAGCGTGTCCGCTACCTTACTTTTCACAATGTTGTTTGAAAGATTCCGCCATGGGTGCTCCTTTTCCAGGCGAAGGAACAGTCGCTTATCGACTTTCGCCTTGGGAGCTTCTTTCTTTTGGGCTCTCGCCGCAGGTCGCGGCATAGCCTTTGCTATAGGAGCTGCATTTTGTCGCAGTCCATTTTTGGCCACCGTGGCCCAGGTGCTTTTTACAGGTAGCACTGGGACGGCGGGAGTTGTATTGCTCCTGGCTTCTGGAGCCCTTGGGGTCGGGTTCGCAGGGCGAGGAGGGAGGACGGGTGGCGTGATGGCCGGGCCCGTGGCCATGTATTGCGCAATGGCGGCGCGTAAGTAGACTCTCATCGAGTATACGAATTGTCTGTTTGACCCGTTGGTCAAAGGGAGGAGGTTGGCTTCGACGCCAGAGATGGCGGCGGAACAGAGGGCCAGATTTGCCGCTGTTTCGGCGGCGCGTCGTTGTTGAGCTTCGACAATTGGTCGAAGCTCTAGGGGACACTCTGCTTTTGTGGCAGCTTTTGGCTGCGACGTTGATTTTGGCGCTGCTTTGACTACAGCGTTTTCCGACGGTTTTGACGCTGTCGGAGGAGATTTTGACGATTCTCCAGTCCCGTGAGGGACGGAGGATGGTTTGGGAAATTCCTCAACAATTTCAACTGACCCGATCATGTCAGTATCGGGCTCAGTGACGGCGGGGTGGGCTTTTTCCTTCCCTTTAGTGGAGACCTTGCTCATATCCGCGCATTTCGGAGACTGGGCAAGGTCAGGTTATT